ACCTGGGGGCAGGGGGGGCGGGAGACTTCCAGGGTGCCCCATCGAGGAGTCTAATGCATGGGAACACACAGACCTACAAAATTAAGTTACATTTGGCCATCAGGCACATGAGGTTTCCTTCTCTGTGCTTCGCAGGGCAGCTGAACCGGGACGTCACATACAGCCAAATTTATTCTTTCCTTGACTGCCTCCAGGTAAGGTCTCTGGTTGTAGCTTATGAGCCCCCCCTTTCCTCTTGGCCGGCTGCTAAAGCCCCGCTCCCTGTGCCTGCCCAGGTGAGCCCCTGCAGCGGCTGGATGACTCCCAACGAGACCCTCAGGAACTTGACCTCGGAGGTAAGTCTCGACGAGGCTGCAATGGGACTGTGCTCTTGCACGGGTGCTCTTCCAGTTTGTCCCTGTGTCTGAGGAGATAAGCCTGATATCTCAAAGGCAAGACATCAGCACACTTTTTTCTTCCCGAGGCAGGGGGAGAAGATGCGTTAACATCTGTACCCATCCTTTCAGACACCTCTCAGACTCTGGGAGACAGCATGGTTAAGTTAAGGGATTCGTAAATGTATTTATTCCCTTTCCAACTTCTCAGCTGCCCCAATTTTTTCTCAAGGGATGCGATCTCCCTGAGACAAAACTGTTCAGGTTCATGTTCTTTAAGGAGAAAACATACCTGATAAGAAAAAAAAAAAAAAGGCTTGTTAATCAAGTAGCTGTGAGTATGAAAAGCCAACTGCATAGATTTCTCTGGCAGCGGGAGCAGGCCCCGAGAGCAAGAGCCTTACCCTGTCTTCATTTGGGATTTGTGTTAATCTTCCTCAGACACATTTCTGTAGACTTAATCGCCAGATGGTGTGGCCAAGGAGCATCCAGGCTCAGTGCAGGAATGGGAACAGACAGAACAGAGATGTCTTAAAACTCACCCTAAAGATCTGGCTGCAGAAGTGAATATCACATAATATCAGCCACTTATTCCCTTACAGTACCAGCTGATTTTTAATCCCACCACCCCCCTGCAGCCATGTAAAAGAACCAGTAACCAAATATCATCAAAGGTGTCATCTCTGTGTATAGTTATATTAATGTTTGCATTCACTAAACAAAAAATATGGCCTTAATTTCACCAAGGCTTACATATGTGTTTCATTTTATGTCCTGTCCCTCTTGACTTCAGAGACGGCAATTAAGCACATTTCTAAATCTTTGCAGGATTGCAGCATATATATTCGTACCAACAATACAGAACATACAGTACACGTAACTTCTGTCCATGAACGATTCATATGTCTGCAGGGTATGAATTAATCTTCTTTCTGAGCCCCTGTCTGAAACTAATTGTCTATGTTATTATCCAAACTGCACAATTTAAATATTTAGGAGATCCTGATCTCTGTTACGGCTGTAGAAATCACATGGGATATATCAGTTAGGTAGATGCTCAATGGAGGTAATTTATTGTGCTGAAAGTAAGGGCAGAATTTGGTCTGCATAGATAAGCATTAGCACCCACAACACAGCAGCAGGAAGGATAATGGGAAAGGAGAACATTTTTCCTCTAGAAAAGTTTCAGTTTTCTTTAAGAGGAATGAAAATGACTGGGCTGCCACTCATCAAGAGGCCTCTGAAACCGAGAAATTCAGAATATTTATATAGGCGTAGAGACACTACTAAAAGAGACGTCCATTGAAATAACCGTATGCTGCATTAAACTTATTACATCAGCTGAGGCCTCAGTGCAACCTGCAGTGACGTACTGCATGGTGAGCTGGGTAGCCCAAAGGCTGGTGGTGCTCATGCAAGTCTACATTACAATGAAGAATCCCATTTCACCTCCTTTCCCCCAGCTAAAAGAGCAACATTAGCTTCCAAATTCCTGACCGCACATCAGTGACAAAAGCTGAATCCATGCAAAGCAGCATGAGTAGCAATGAACCACCATTAAATCATTTGATTTTTGCAGAGAGCTCTACAACTTTCCAATGTCCTGAAAGAAATAGCAAGATCTGAGAAATTTGCCAACTTTGATATTTTCTACATGGATTTTCCACTGAGACAAAGTAAGTTGCTTTTTTCCTGTCTTTCTCATGAAGCATTTAGTGAGGTGCTGGGCTGCTAATTTGCTCCTCATATTTTAGCTCTGTACTGGGAGAAGGACAGCATAGCCAGCCAGCCTAGGCGACCCTGCTGGCAGGGCTGGGGCCAAGGGGGGACCCTTAATGCCATCTCCCAGCTTCCCAGGTTGGGGTAACCTTTGGATCTCTGCCGAGGTGAGACCCCATCACCAGCCTGGGGGTCACAACCTCCCCACTGCTCCCAGCTGCCAGCACCCACAATCCCAGTGCACAGCACACAGGCCTTTTGCGCTTGGGTGGCAGGGGGTGTTGGTGGCAAGGCGACAGGGACAGCAGGCGAGCCTCTCCTAAAAATGCCTCCTGCTTGTCCACTGCAGATTCTCAGGCCGATGAAGAAAAAAAGAAATCTCAAAACTATCTCGGCCCATAAGATTTGGGTTTATTTTTGATCATTGCTTTTATAGGGGGTCATCTAGGCTGGAGATGGCGTATCTGCAATGGTGAAGGTGGTCTTCATGAGCTGCAGTGTACTACATCACTGACTGGGCTTCACATTGCCTCCTCTGGGATGAGCAGTGCCTTAGGAAGGAGAACTTTTCTCAGCCAGTTTTCCTGCCTGAATAACACAGCCACACTCTATTAACTCACTGTTTTCAAAAGTAGAAGCTCCTCTCCCAGGAGGAACTGGCTTGTTTCCTATGCTTCCTTAAGCACCTACATACTACTGTAACTTTTGACTTGAAGAGCTTACAAAACTCGTCCTTCTGTGATCTTAAGTGACATTAAGTAAGAGCATTACTTAAATAACTTGCTTCCGCAACTGACACTTGAAGAAAAAAAAAAAAAAAAGAACCAGAAACCTTTCCTCCTTACTGTGAGCATGAGTGGAGAGTGTCCTCATAGGGCTAGGGACAGATGCCTGTCCCTGGATCCCTCTCAGCTCTGCTCCCCTTGCGAGATGTGTGTGGGTCCAGCTTGAGGCATCACCCAGCTTCAGCCCAGCTCCATTGCAAGGAGAAACCCTCTCACTCTTTCTTTTTAAAAAAAGAATCAGCATGGAGTTAGAGATTGAGGTGGGCAACATATTCAAGTAGTTAGATAGTGATGGGAAAGTAGGAAAACAGCTTTTTCTCTGTATCCAGCCTGAGCCTCCAATGTTTCAACTTATGCCTGTTGTCTCTCCCCATCCCATTGTGCACTGCTGTGAAGAGACTGGCCCCGTCCTCATCGCCTCCGAAAAGCTCTTTCTCAGGGTGGGCCATCCCCGTCCCTCAGCTTCCATTCACGGGGCAGGAACTGCAGCCCTGGCCACCTGGGGGCCCTTCCCGATAGAGTGAATTTTTACATTCCAAAAATAGTATATAATAATTGGAACACACCCCCCCAATCTGCATTTCCTTGTTTTTATATTCACATAGAGAGGTAGTTCTATACTGGTCTTTCTTGAAAAATTTTGCCTGGGGACAATATTTTAAATCCCAGCATGCAGACAGCTAAAACCAGAGGCAAGAAGGGACAGAAGCACCCTGGCAATACTTCAAAGTGTACATCTCTAACACCTCTCCCCATCAGTGCCTGGCTGTCCTTGGAAGCATGAAGCTGGCGAGGCACCTAAGATTATTGCAAAAATCTCATTTGCAGCCAAATCCTATCAAAATTCACAAACTTATTTTATCCTGCATGGCCCAATTCAGGAAGCTGGTTCTAGGTCTCATGCCGACCATATGGAGGAGGGAGTCTTTGTGTCCAAAACTTTATCTCAGAGAGGTGGGCTCCACTATCAAGTTTGACACCGTAGCACAGTCTTAGGATGTCCAAGTCTCTTTGCGGCTTTTGCCTCAGCTACTTAATATTTAACAAGTCATTAGGATTTGGAACAAACTACCTGCTGGGTAGGCAAATTACTTTAATAAGTTAAATTACTAAGTTTAGGTAATTTATTTGCTTTCACGAAAAGAAACATCTTAATATAATTTGCTGTTCTTGATTATGCATTAAATAAATGAGGTAAACAAAATCACACATGCACATACAAACATCAGCTCTGAAAGACACTTTGCAAAGTTTTCTGCAGCCCTGGAGCCACTGTTTTGTGCTTCCTGTCAGGAAAGCTGTCAGTTTGTGAATGTGCTCAAAAGCCAGCTAAGGCTGCTGACCTACTTTCCTGGTCTCTTTCTGAAGCAAGCGCAAATCCTCCCCTAAACTCTCCAGACATCAAATATTTAGCAGTGGTTGCACACTGTGATGAGTACATTGATTTCAGGCTGGCCTGGGCACATATATACATAGCAGTTCCCAGTTTTCTTGGAGTAAAATTTGAGAATACTAGGATTTATTCTAGATTTAGATGGACATTCAAGCTCAGATGTTGCCTTTGGCTGAAGAACTTAGTGGTTCCTTTAAGAAGCAGTGCAATAAATAAGGGGGTAGAGGTTGCTTGTTTTGGCTTTTTCTTGGTGTGGATGGGAGCAAGCTCTAGTCTAGTCTAGCCAAGGCAATAGGCACTTTTAAGACAAACTCTGGACATAGTCAGTTGGTGGGTATTTCTTCAACTGCTCTAGGATTTTTGGAGGTCAAGTATAATGGTCTAAATTCACCTGTCTTTATATAACCTTACTTATCTGACTTACTCCTCTGCTATTTCTGGCAGTGGAACAGTTGTCCCTCTACAAAGTAAAACACAATACACATCATCGTATTCAATATATAACATCAAATGTAAGGGGTTAGGCAAGCTCACTCTGCTTCTAATGTGCACTTTGTGGTGTAATCTAAGGTGAATATGCATTGTGCCAAACGTATTGCAAATTTGAAAAGCTCCAAGCCCTGTGTTTTGAAAAAAGGTTACTTTGGGTGTTGACTAAAGCACCTCAAGTAGGTTTCTATAGTCAAAGCGGGAATATGGCCCTTCTGTGAGTTCAAGGTTAGTTTGGAGACCCAGACATCACTTTTTGACACAATAGCCGGGGTCCAACAAACAGCGGTGAGGCTAGGTCAAAACTGTGGTGCTTGCTTGAACGGAGAACATTTTTCCCCTGACAGGATGCTTGCATAATGCTATTAAGAATTCTTAATCTGTCATTATAAAAGAAATTATTGAATTTACAGTCTGTTAATGCCATATCCACTAGTCCCAGGTTTGATCACTCCACAGCCCTTTTGAAGAGAGAAAGCTTGTTACTTCTCTAATGGCTCTGGGGCTTGCAGCACAGCATCATTTGCATTGAATGTCATGCTTATGTAATTCAAAAGGTTATTTTGTTGGAGTTGAAAAAGACCGCTCAGAGGAGAAGTAACTGAAAATGACAGGCTATTCCTGCAGACATCAGCCCATGTGAATATTGTGTTACCATCTCTTTCTCTAAAGAGCACTGTTTTCTTTATCTTTTATTCTTTTGCACTGCTGAAGATGCAACTAAAATGGGAAATGCAAAAGTATTAAATCAGTATTAAATAATTTACAGCCTTACTTGCTACAGCATCCACCTTAGTTGGGAGGGAAAGTGAATTGTTTTATGATCATTTATGTTCAAAAGGCTTCCTTGCATAAATAGCGCAGAGGAAAAGAAAAATAAAGGCTTAAATACTGCCCCAAGGAGAGGGGATTGTACACAATATTGGCTCTGACAACTTTATACGAATTATCATAATCTTCACGCAGAGCCGTTGTGTGCTTAAAAGTACCGGCGGCACTTTGAGGAAGAGGGGGGGTACATCTCCAGGCGGGTGCCTACATGCTCACCGGTGATAACCCCTCTGCTTATGTTGTTCACAGCGGCCGAGGAGTGGCACAAGATGGGAGGCGAGCCCTGGCAGCTGATTGAACCAGTCGATGGCTTCCACCCCAGCCAGGTAAAATACCAGCCCTGGGAGATGGGCGGGAGCAGGGGGGATGCCAGCGCCCACCACTGCCCGAGGCACTCGGTCGGACCACAGCGGGGATGTGGGCTTGGGGGGTTTCTCTTTTAAAAGAGATGATGGCTCTAGCCCCGGAGCAGATGTCTCCGTTTCAGCCACCCTACCCTCTGCTCTAACTTCTGCAAGGTCTTCTGCTGCTTTCTTTCTCTTATTGACCAGCACACTGGCCAAACAGGTCTTAAACCACAAAACCAGACCCTTGCCATGTAGGCTGGCTACCTGCCTGCTCAAACACACATGGGAGTTTTGCAGGATAAGGGCAGTGGTGCAGCACTGGGAAAACCTGAGAGGCCCCCTCCAGCCCAGTCCCTGCCCCAGCCCTGCAGCCTCAGCCTCTGAAGCCAGGGGTCCTCAGAGGAACAAAGCTTTCTTTTTGAGGCTATATATTTAAATTGCTTTATGCTCTGCATCTACATGTTATGAAGAAGTCTTCTCCTACCTGATTGGCCTCCAAGGACAGGTGACAGGGGAAGGATTACAGTCAGAAATAACTGAAAGGGAAGGAGAAGCAGCTGCTCCACTTAAGTTCTTGCTTGTTTTCACTGAGTGCAAAGTTGCCCGGTTCCCACTGCGTTCACTTTCAAAGTACTTTTTGACTCTCTAAAATGCTTGGAGAGAGCATGTTCAGCAATCAGCTACAAAGCCAATTGCTTTTCTGTACACGCTTCAGATTTCAAACACGTATATGAAGCAAAGCAGCAGCCAGTCTTCCCCATACCGCTCTGAGAAAAACTGCATGAGCTGAAATCCTGCACGCAGCCTGTGGCAGCAATGGCTCACAGCGGTGGGCACAGCCTGGCTGGGGCTCTCCTGCCGGCCACACCACGGTCAGCCCCAGCCACTAAGTCAACACAGGGCAGGGGGTGGGGTCCCAAAACCAAAGACCATTCCTGTTTCCCATGCTTTTCAATCTTGACTCTCCGGAGCAAGAATTAGGCTGGGCTAAATTACAAGGGGACAAATTGTGGGAGGCAGGCGAGATGAAGAGGGACAGCAACAGCACAGCCCATTTTTCCTCCTCTGCCAGAGGGCTCTGCCCAGCAGCAGCAGCGGCGGCTGCTCTCCATCCCATATACTTAGCAATGGGTCTAGAAGTTTCTTGCTGCCTGCTGCTAAGAAGGAAAAGAACCCTCCAACCATCCAGCTCCACTCCCAACATCCCTGCCCTGCCTAGAGGCACAGGTCTGGGCAGCAGCTGGGAGTAGAAGGATTGCTGTTCCTCGGTGATGTTTTTGTGGTGCACGGTACTAGCTCTGTGCCATGGCAAGAGCGGTTTGGAGAAAGCTGTTGACTAGGGCACCACTGCCTTCCTCCATGCTTCTGGCTGCATGCTCTCTTCCACACAGGCATGACTGAGCCATAGAAGCAAACCCCGCTGCGCTGCCCAGTCACCAGCAGTGCCGTTTGGCAGCCACCCCTGCTCAAAAGCACAGGGTGAATTTGTGGACCAGTTTTATGATGTGAGCTAACACCCCGCATATATTCACTCCCATACCCCCGTCACCAAATAACCCGATGCGATGCCATCTTGCACGCTGGGTAAGAGCAGGCTGTGGAGAAGCACTTCAATGGGAGTGCGTTGCAAGCACTGATGGATTCCAACATTTCCACAGCTTCCCTGTTGACTGTGCTGTGCGTTCAGCCAGGGGAGACCTGCAGGGGGAAGTCCAAAGGCAAAATACATGTTTTAGTTGTTATCTTTTACAGCCATGCCGGTCAGCTGGAGCAATACGGTGGCTTGCTTAGCCTTGCCAAGTCAAAACAGCCTCCTGTTCAAAGAGGGACTCCTTCATAGCAGAAATTCCTGCCTGGCTACCAAGCAGTACCAGGAGATAGCTGCATGAAAGTATGAGCTCTCAGCCTGGGGACATGGAGAAAGTGTTTCTGGATTTTTCACTGCAGGCCTTTTGCAGGGAAGCAATTAGAGAAAACTTGGCAAATGAAATGAGAGTGAAAATAGTGATGAAATGAACCCCATTCCCAACCCTGCCATCTGGGGACACTGTGCAATACAAAGAGTCTGGAGTGAAGAAGAAAAGGTCTTTGCATTATTTTTATGCCTTACCCTGAAGCTGGCCTGAGGCTTCTTATAACCCCCAGCAGCAGGTCACTGAGGGGGTCAAGCTTGCCAGATCACAGCTTTTCGTCCAGGCTCTTGCCCACATCCCATATCCCACCAGCAGCTGGAAGGTAGCACAGAGTTGAAGGCAGCAAGTATATATCTTAAAGGGATCCTGCCTAAGCCAAAAGAAAATTATGAAAGGGCATTGAAGGGCAGCTAGCAAACCTACACTCAGCCCCTGGAGTGCCAAGCTGCAGGATCTGGCCAAGCACTGCCATGTTTCACTCCCTCTGGACCTGGCATCCTGCAGTGGTTATGATCTCCTCCTCCTGCTGTTAGAATGACATTAATGCTTTTATAGGTACATTTTCCCTTACAGTCAAGGTGCCAGCTGTAGATATGCCTCACTTTCAGTGAGTTACTGCCCTTCTAGGATTTATTAATTAGCCTTATCCAAACATCCACTGCTTTAAATCCATTTCTCTTTTCCTGCTAGTACACGGAAGCCTGTTATCAACACACTGCTATTTGGACTGAGATGTAGAACTCTGCTCCGAAAGAGTGGCTCTCTTAATAAAAAGAAGGGGAAGTGTAAGCAGAGAATGATGTTTAAGAGGACGCTTGAGAGAGATGATAAACAGTTCACTCCCTCCTCATACTAGTTTTATTTAAAGTTTTACTTTATCCTGATGTGAATGCCTCTGGCCAAGTGTGGCTTTCACACCACATAAAGCTGCCTAGCAGGAGAGGATTGATGCCGTGCAGCTCGTCAAGTGAATGGGGGTTCTTCACTCTCTGCAGCTCTTCCCCACGCCTCACACACAGCTTGACTATTAAACACGATGGATAAGACCTATTCTGAGCATTTCTACTGAGCTTTCTTTCTGAAGATCTTAAAGCACTTGACAAATATTCACAGTTTTTTTTAATTGAGCAGCATAAACATTTTACCTCCTGCCTTCAGATGCAGAGAAACTTTGGAATTTGGGATACAAGAACCACAGTGCCCCTCTCTGCCAGGGGTGAGCTGGAAGGGTACCATGATCCCTAGTCATTATGGTACAGCAGTGGGCAGGATAAGCTGGTGTCTGATGCCAGCCCCTAGATTTCACTTGTGTTTATCTGCTGTCTCTTTAATTAAAAAACATAATCTGCTAGTATAGAATCATAGAATCATTTAGGTTGGAAAAGACCTTTAAGATCATCAAGGCCAACCATTAACCTAACACTACCAAGTCCACCACTAAACCAGTTAAGGGTCGAGTAATAATTAATTTCATGTTTCCTGGCTTGGTGGCTGGATTATTTTTTAATGAAAGTAAAACTAGAATAGAATCATTAAGGTTGGAAAGGAGGCCTAAGATCATCAGTCCAACTGTCAACCCAACACCACCATGCCCACTAAACCATGTCGCAAAGTGCCACATCTACAACCTTTTTGAACACCTCCAGGGATGGTGACTCCACCACCTCTCTGGGCAGCCTGTTCCAATGCTTGACCGCTCTTTCAGTAAAGAAATTTCTCCTAATATCCAATCTAAACCTCCCCTGGCGCAGCTTAAGCCCATTTCCTCTCATCCTATCACTAACTACTTGGGAGAAGAGACCAACACCCACCTCACTATAACCTCCTTTCAGGTAGTTGTAGAGAGCGATAAGGTCTCCCCTCAGCCTCCTCTTCTCCAGGCTAAACAACCCCAGTTCCCTCAGCCGCTCCTCATAAGGCCTGTGCTCCAGACCCTTCCCCAGCCTTGTTGGCCTTCTCTGAACACGCTCCAGCACCTCAATGTCTTTCTTGTATTGAGGGGCCCAAAACTGGACACACTATTCCAGGTGCAGCCTCACCAGCGCTGAGTACAGGGGAACAATCACCTCCCTGCTCCTGCTGGCCACACGATTCCTGATACAAACCAGGAAGCTGTTGGCCTTCTCAGCCATCTGGGCACACTGCTGGCTCATGTATAAACATGGCAGAAGCAGGTGTCAGCATGTATATCCAATAGTCCAGCTGTCCAGCCACGCAGGAGGGATGTGGAAGGGAACTGAACCTCCCTAACTGAGAGTTGCATACTTACCATTGCAAGGAGAAGGAAAAGAAAATAAGGAAAAAGGCAACACACCCTTTGTCCCATTAGAGCTATTCTGTTTTTTCATGCATTAGAAAAAGGCTAGGGTAGGACACTCATGTAGGAAAAACTATCCCCCATAGTCCCCGCTCCTGGCAGTATTTTATATTTAAAAACCCTTGAAAGAAGGAATAAACACCAAGTGCTCATTTGTTTAGCCAGGCCCAGAACTACATTCCCTTACTGCAAATTTCTTGGGGAGGAAGGGTTTTTTCCTGCATGTTTACCTGTTGCAAAACAGAAGGCTGCAAACAAGACACTCATTCTTGGCATAACTGTAGTCCTCTTAAGTCTCAAAGATAAAATTGGGCTCTATGAGGTTTATTTTCCAAGACACCCAGCTCAGGCTGTAAGTTGAGGAAATTCACACCATTTACTTTTGATGCCTAAAAGCAAAATGCATCACTCAGCCCTCCTAAGTTCCCTCTAAAGCTGTCTCTGAGACACTGTACCCCAAAGTCTGGCTCAGCTGTCCTTGGAAAAAATCTGACTTTCTCTTCCCATTGACTATAGTGGAAGCCCAGGGACTTTTTTTCAGCATCTCTCCCTTCCTATGAAATCTCACTGCAGACCATTCTGAGTGCCAGATGGCTTCAAGGACATTCCTTCTCTCTAGAACAGCCGATTGCTTTGTTTGGAAGACAGGGCCATGCATTTCACCAAGATCCTGCATAAACAGCTTTGTTTCTTGCTTTTATGAAGTTACCAGGGAGAACATGAAAGCCCCGAGTGTCACAAACTAGAACCTGAGACGCGTGGAAGATTCTTAATAATTACGTACAGGCAGGAAAGCACAGCTTAAGTGTGATGAGCTTCTCCCTTTTCTCTTTCCTTAAGACACAGAAAAACACATTCCAGCCAGAAAAAAAGAGAAAAACCTGGTGACACATATCAGATTATTGGGCATTTACACTTTGCTGAGAGGCATGTCCATTGCCAGTTTGGTGCAGAAGGAGGAGACAGATAGCCAGAAGCTGCTGAAAAAATACAGCTACCTCCCAGTCACGGTCACTCAGGGCTCTACGAGGAATGGATAATATTTCCTTTAAAAAAATTGCTTAGAAGCTGTCATTCTTGCAAAAAATGAATTGTAAAAAAAACGTAAGAATTATAGCTGGTCTCAAAGCACAAGGGCTTTGGAATTTAAAAAAGGCTTGCAAGAAAAGTGATTCCTAGAGTCATGAACCCTCTCTATGCCACACTACTCCTCCAGAGTAAAATACTGAAACCATCAGGACCACATGAAATGATGTCTCAGCAGGACCTACGTAATTTAGGGCAGTCTAAGCATATATGTCTTAAATAGCAGTCAACAGTAGTCTGAACACTGTAGAGCATACCTCTGGTGGTACTTTTGCAGAGTGCACTATGCAAAGACAGTAAGGTTTTTTAAACCAACCAACCCTGGTAAAAAAAAACGTATGGAAGGCTTAGGGGCTTGTGAAGAAGATTTGCAGACTACCATGCCAGAGTGGACCACTGACAGAGACAGGTCTCAGCCCTCCGGCAGCCATAGGGTGTCCCAGAATAACCATGTTCAGTCACATTAGAAATTTTGACCAAGAGAAATCACCCTATTGCACAATCTCCCCATTCCTCTCCCCTGCCCCAATTCTTCCATTAGCTTAATGAGACCTTGAGTGACCAGAGTCTAAGAGCTTTCACCCCGCAAAAGTGTCTCTTTGTACATCAGCTCTGAATAAAAGAAAGTTTTTGTCTCCTGACCCATCATTACAGCTTCTTTCAAAAAGCACAGGATTTAAGAAGTGCATAAAAATTCTCCAAAGGCTCCAGTCTGTTCCCAAACTCTGAAACATCAGTATTCAAATAGTTTGATTCCAGAAACCCATCTTGGACCTTAATAAAGAGGCTTCGTTAGCCCTATTTAAGCCTCAAAATTAAAATCCATGTCAGAGTGAGTTTTAGGATTGAAAGTAAAGTTATCATATAAGCAGAATATAATTGTGGGTCAGAAATTAAAACAAAAATACATTAGCAGGGTGTGAAAATTTGGTTAAAGGAGAATCAGGCTGTTCTCCCTTCCCTTTTCTCCTACCCCAACGTTTTTCACCCTGGCAATATGGCAGATACAATTTCTCTTTGGTGCATAACTTCTAGGGCAAAAACTCTATGAAAGCTAGAGTGATTCTGATAGCGAGGAGAAAAGCTATTTTACCAGTTCTGCAGGTCTCATGGAAAAAAGCTCTGAAGACAACCAGCAGCAGGCATGAACTTAGAACATCAGAGCTGGGTAGTTTTGAACCTAGATATAATTGGGCCTCTTTTTCCTCAACACCTGTGGTTTCCTCATAGGACAGCAGAGAGAATATTTATTAGAAGTACCGGAGGCATTTAGGAGCATGAATTCCTTTGGACTTGCAAGAGTTTTATGCATTATATCCAAGCAGTGCTTTTGAAATACTTTCCAAAAAAAAAATTTCTTTTTTGGGGGGGTGGAAATCAGACTCTAGGACTTTTGAATAGAAGTTTATAGACCAGACAACATAGGCATCAGCAAGTGGTTGGAGACTATCATTAGACCAAGTGACTGGTCAGGGAGATGCAGATATATAGTCCTCACCTTACTTTTACTGTTCAGAAGGATTTTTTTCCCCATTCAGGCACCTGGGGTATTTTCTTTGGTTAGAGGTTACAGCCCACCACGTGGCTATGCAGGGGGTTCTTCTTTATGGTGGGGTCTCCTAAGTGCTGGCATGAAATGGCTACATTATAGAGGCACAAGAAATTGATAGTATTTGTGCTGTTTGCAGATTGCTGCAGCCCTTGGAACAAGCATTACCTGGCAGAAGGCGCTACATGAGTGGCCTCAAGTGCTTGGAAAGGAGAATCCATTCAACGACCAGATTGAAGCTATATTCAAGGATCAAGGTGGACACTGACTTCCAAACTGCCGGAGCCCTGACATGGTTTACGGTGATGCTTCCCAGTGCATTCCACAAAACAAGATGATTAAAGACACGCACAAAAAAAGGGGAGGGCAAGTTATCAGAGCCAGTAACAGTGGACATAACATAACAGCCTTCTTTTCAGTCTTGTATCTCACCTGCACCAGTAGGCTATGCTTTTTCTGTGGAGCTACAAAAACTAAAATCAAAGGATACCTGCCAGCTAGACCATTTATTATACTAGTTTGCAAATCCATACATTTTTTTCGATATATAAGCAAACTCCTAGCCCTACCTCATATTTTCCCCCCTGCAGAACATTACTTCTAGGCTTTCCATTTGTACTGTTTCAATAATTAATCTGATCCCAAAAAGGGGTGGGGGGGGACAGGGGACGACGACGGACGACAACACACCCCCAAACTCATTATGTTGCTGTAAATTGTGCGTATGTAATTGCCCTGACTGTCAATACATTATTTAGCTGCTATTTGCTTATTAAAATGTGCCAGGAATAACAAGGCACTAGAATTTTGATTTGCCTGGCAGCGTTAGTGCAAGCTGAGTGAGCACAGGTTTGCTTCCCCCCCATTAACAAGGTATAACTTGACAACCCTTCATGTATTTAAAACAGGTTGCTTTTTCAAGCTTTAATACATCTTTGCTCTTTTGCTTCCTAACAATTATGACATACCCAGTCCTGTACCTTTTACAGGCATGACCCAGGGAATCACTGAAGATACTGGGCAGCCTTTACCTGCTTTATTTCATATGCAGAATTGAAGGTTGAGAATTAATAGTAGTTTTTTCCACCAGCTTATCTGATACTCTTTGCAAAATAAACAAACAAATGCGTATATAAGTATAAAAAATTAGGGACAGCTCTACCCTACTCACAGCCCTGCTGGTGGTGAAGGGATCAGGCAGCAAAAATGTCACTAATTATACATGAAAAAAATCAGGTAAATAGAAAGTGTTAACATGGCATGACTAAAGCCCATCCAAATTAGCTAAAGCAGGTAGACTTGCTCTGCTTTTTGTTCTGAACACGTCCCCTGCACGATGCTGCGTCACCCATGAGCCAGCTCTTGGGCTGCGGTCCAAACTAAAGGAGATGGCCTGGACTTGTATGGACCTTTGCACAGTGGCCATGGCTGTAGGAGATGCATCTGCTCAGTATTTTGAATAGGCAGAGGATGACTTGCTAATGCTATTTCGATTGAAGCATGTATTATTGCTATCCTAGATCCTCTTCCTTTTTTTTTTAAAGTACAGCCAATGCCACATCTTTTATTAAGACAGAAGTTCCTTTGGGACAACTGCTAACATTTAAGGAAATATTCAAGTCGCCTACTTTAGGAAACCAAAAGAGAATACATTCCTTAATTGAATGACACTTACTAATAAGGCCCCAATTCATTCAAGACATTTAGATGTTACCAAAATATCCAGTCTCCCAAGAAACAGTTTCAACTCCACAGAGGCATGCCGGAGGAAGACTATTTAGCATTAGAAGGAAAAGGAAATCTACCTGCTTCCTGTACAAATTCCCTCCACCATACAGCACAACATTCGATGCACACTGGCCAGGTAGAACACCTTCTATTTTTTTATTACCTTTTAAGTTTTCCTGTCTTTCATTAAAAACAACACAAGGACAGAAACAAGTGCATCCACATGGCTTTACTATAGACCAAGTACAGCATAGACAATAATTACAGAATATCAAATAATTTCCTCTACACCAAAATACAGAAATGTAGCAATTAAAAGGGGAAAGGGAACAGTATGTGTTTAGAAGCCAAATTTTCAGGCAATCTCATTGCAAATTATTGTATTTCATTTGAGGTTGGGATTTAATAACACCAATTAGGAGTTTTACAAGCTAATAAAACTGAAATTTCCTCAGCTAAAATAAGCTTCATTGCCCAGAGCAAAGCATTTTCCATTTATAGACTTCCTTATTAGTGAACATCTTGAATTTCTGAACAATGGGAAAAAAGCTTTCTCATAAAATTAGAGCAGCATCTTCTCAAAGATGACCTGAAACCCCCAGAGCTGAATCCCAAAGCAAAGCTCTCAGATTTGCCCAGTATAATCGCTCCATGCTTGATCAGGGGTCTCCAAGGGACTTCATGAACTGGGCTGAAGGAGCACTAACCAAACCCTACGTCCTCACGCCTCAGAGGCGAGCTCTGCAGCTCAGCATTAGGCCGTACGCAGAAACTTGATTTGTAACTAATACAGTAACTATTTGCAAATAAAGATGAATTTTGGGCCTATTAAGCTGTCAGCTTTCACAACCACTATGTGTCTCCATTATTTCCAAGAATGCAAAAACCAGCTGAAGATCTGCACCCCCAACCATCAATCACTTACCAGTACCATTCTAAAAATAAGTGTCCTATATTTAAACAAATGCTTCTGAAAAAGCTTACTTAACGAACTATGAATCCTAGTCTATTCCATTATAGTCTGTCTGCTGGTGCTGAGATTAGGTGAAGGTAAAATATGCATGGGGAAGAGAGAAATAAACGGGGAGGAAGGTTTCTCTTGGAAGGCTAAGTATAGTTCCATGAAAATCAAACTTTATAGCAGCACAGATTTCTAGAAGGAATGGTCCGTCAAGGTCTTTTTTTGTGGGGAGAGTTAGAGCATGTGAACACGGAGGCGGGGATTATGTCACTGGCTAGTTCCAATGCAGTGCAAATGGGAAGGGTTTTTTTTTTTGATGTTATCCTGTTCATAAACTGTTTTTACAAAACTTAAAGCTTGTTTAAAGTCAGACAGTAGAAACTATTTTTGAGGTATAGAACAAACAGCTTCAGGTAGCTATAGATTAATTCACACTCTGGCCTCTTCCAAAAGGATCCACTACAAACATGAAAAAATATGTTTGCTAACGTTTTCAAAAAATTTTCCACAGCTCACCCTTAAAAGAGCAGGGGGAATGCGGGAGGGGAGGAGGTACACAGCAGTGCAAGTGGGTCAAGCTGTAAATGCAGGCTTGCTGCTAAGCTAGCATCACATGCTTCTGCCACGTGTCATCACCACTGACAGCTTGTGCCTAGAACTCACCACCCAGGTCAGCTGTTCTGACTTACATCACCTGTTATACTTTATACCTTTCCTTGATGAGGATAATTTTTCATCTTGGGCAATGAACAAACACAGAGTAGTTTCTACAATGGATAATAGCCCAATTAGCCTAAATAAAAATAGGTCATTCCCTTAGATAAATCTAGTTCCATTCTTAACACCTTTCTATGGACTCATTTCATAATTTTATATTCAATGATTCTTATTAACCTCCACTTGGAATTTTAAGTAGACAGCCTACCGTGGATCCACAGATGACATTTGCTCTTCCACTGTCCATGTTGCACTGCTACTTTGCTGCCGTGTCTCCATCACAAGAGAAAAGAACCGTCTGCTCCTCTCCATACCTGATGAGCTGCTGGTCTCTAGCAGCCTCTACATTCATATACGTCCCAACCAGTTCATGATAACTGCCCACGGACAATCTGGCCTCCCACTACAAAATTTGGTGCTAGCTACCCCTGAGGCATCACATTATCTTCTCAAATCAAGTGGTATTTTGGGATACACATACTGAATAGAATCCTTTCTTAAACATGGTGTGGAGTCCAGCTTTTCTTCTTCAGTCTACAAACTAGTACCTCGAATGCATAGATGACATTATGAAAAAAACCCTAAGGTATTTTATTCTTTATTTTAAATGAATAAAATAAATCTCAATACATAGTTTGGAAATATTTCAAGATATCAGAAAAAGAAAACTAGATTTAAAGGCAAAAGTACAACAGCAGCAGGATGAAAACAGTATAAGCTAACAGAATTTAGTGTTTCAAGTGTGAATATATAATAGCAATAGCAATTTTAAGTATTCCACTATTGCATTCACAATTCGCTAAGCCCAGTGAAAAGCTGTGAAAATTGCCAGTTTTAACTGAATAGTTTTGCCATTTTAATGATGGGTCTGAAGTAATGCTTGTATCTGCATTTATGGACACGTCTACGAGGGGGAGGAAGACCCATACCTTCGGCCAGCGGAGTATTAGTTGGTACGTAGCAGCTTTGTAACATCTTATTAAAAAAAAAACAGCAAGTACTCTTACAACCTATTCCCAGTTCTCAAATGGAAGAGGATTCTAGCTTGTACAAACCATGAGTCCCAGGAAATACTAATGTATACAATCCTAAAACTAATTTTTTCTTTTTTTTTTCTTTAATGTAGCAGTCCTAAAAAATATTCAAGACCTTTCATTTCTATCAAAGTGCAATATACTGCATACATAATTCCACACCTGTAAGCCACATAGGATACATGCCATGCACTTATTCTTACCAGTTTGTATGAGAAATTGCAAAAGAAAGTATGCATATATTGTGCATGCCTTTTGTTCTGACCACAAGGACACTGTGCAAGCAAGAAATACCCATATTGCATGTTGTAGAATAAAATTTACCAGTAACTTCTATGCCTGATCATTACAAAAAACTCTGACAAACCCTCCAATATTAAATCTTGTGTTTTAGCACCATCCTTGTTAGAGAACTCTGAGCTATTGTTTCTTTCAGGGAGCTGAGTTATCTAGTAAGCTTGTTTTTTCACTAGCTTGCCCCCCACTTCCTGCCCTGAAGTGTGATTTCCTGCAATAATTTAGTTGTTTAAAGAAGAGAATGTATTTAGCTAAAAGAGACTTCCAAAAAAGGAGTTACATAAATATTTAGCACATTTAGAAACAGCTAATTGCTTCCTACCATACTCAAAAGCTAGGAAGCAAAAAAGTTTTAAAATTCTTAAAGTGAAATAAAAATACTGCATAATATAGTCCTGTATCATGTTACATACTCTCTCAAATTTAAAGCATAAGTGTCCCAGAGGACTTCCCACATTTTAATTTAAAATACCTCTGGGTTTGGGTTTTTTTTTTCTTTTTTTTTTTTTGTGTAGTTCATGCAGGTTTTTG